ACCCTTGGCCATCAGTAGCACAATCGATCTTGCCCGAGGCACGATAATCATACAATACTTTACTCCTGATATTGAGATCTTGTGTTAAGCTGCACGTTCTGGCAAGAGCTACACAACATGTGCAAGAGCCCTTGCGGAAACCCTCTTTGATGACTTTGCAATGTGTATTTTCCTGTCGACATCGTGAGCAAGGTTTGAGAGGCTCTGACATGCCATCAATCCATCTTGGAAAATCTTGAAAATCGTGTGCTTCAAGTGTGGTAGTGTCAAGTGCCGGTGTGACCACGCTAGTTTCCAAATCTTGAGAGACTTGTTCTTCTGGAGCCGAGAAATGTTGAAGACAATTGAAAGAATTCTCATCCCCTTCAGGATCTGCAAAGGCTAGGTCGATATCATAAGGACCTGCACTTGAGACAGTATTGAGATGACTAATATCATACTCGAATTGATCGGTAGTCGGAGGGGTGGCCGCATGAGTGGCATCATCAAAGTTGAAGAACTCATCCATCTCGTCAATTGTGGTCATCTAGAGGGCGTGAGGGCCGTTGGGATGAAAGTGTAATGATATGTAAGACTCGATTGACTAGGTGGAACGCGGGGAATGAACTCTGATAGAGAAACAACCCAGTATCCGATGCCAAACTGTCTAGGTGCTCGATTGAGTAAGGCCGACGAGAAAGAAGATATGGATAAGAAAGAGTCTAAGAAAGGGCGTAGAACAGGAAAGATGATTAATCCTTGGATATATATTTTGTTCAGAGGATGAGAGATAAGAATGAGAGAATGAGAGAATGAGAGAACGAAAGAACGAAAGAACGAATGATCGAAGAGAAAACATGTGCAAAAGCTGATACAATAGTCAGTCACCTTACCCTCCCCTCCTCTGGGAACAGTCATCTATCTCCATGGATGAATTGGTTATCCATGGTTATCGTCCATCCTTGTCAGAAAATGTCGATAACACGCCCTTTGACAACCACATCTGATCTTCTTTCATTAGTCAGTCCACTGGTGGTCCACAAAAATTGTGCATTCTAATAAGGTAAGGTTACCTATAGATAGGTATTTACCAAACCCCACACAGCATTGTAAAATTGTGGTAGAACTCCGATTGGGCTTGGATTAATAATAATGATTGGTATTGGTATGAATTTGCCTAGGTAGGTAATTAATAAGTAGTTAACTTGACTATACAAGATAAAATTACCTGGGTAACTTATTATACGAAGTAGTACAAACTAATCACACTACAACTCAAACTCATATATCTGCTACCTTCTAATTACTATAATTCATCATTCATCATTCATCATTCATCATTCATATCAAAACTACATTCTATATAAAAAGATAATCAATTTCTATATATTTCTCTCGCATTCCCCCCATACACTAATAACTGACTGACTAACTGACTAACTGACTACTTACCTACCTATTCAACCCTCCGATATCGCCCTCCCCATCCCATTCCATCCAATCCCCCCTTCCAAAAAAATTAAACTCCAAGCCTAGAATATGCATAGAGATGTCTGCAGATGAGCGAGCAATGCTTTAATACGAAAAATACCCAGGTGGACACAATATTAAACTTTTCTAGCCGCAGTCCTTGCCATCAAATAGGTGCACCAGTGTACTTACTCTCATTTCTAAGTCATAAACGGATAAACCGATGAGGGAAACAAGTGGGCGCGACACTACGGAGTAGAATTTAGCTACCAGGTACCTAGCACGCCTAGCCACAGGAGTTTACCGACGGATCACGGCTATTGAGTTTCTTCAGGTTCGGGGAAATGAGAGTGCAGAACACGAACACATCCAAGGATATCTTCTCTGTGTACTTCATCTTGGAGATTCGATAATTATAACACCTCGTCGTCATTACTACATACAGTTTTCCTCCATGCATCATGATCATTTCCCATATATTTGATATTTGATCAGTCATGCCATATCCAACCAGCCAGCCAGCACCGTGTAAGTAAGTTCATCCACCCGTAAAAAATCGTACAATGAAATGGAATTCAAAGAGCGGCCTCCGCGCGAGAATCATAATTTGCGGTTCAAAATACATTGAGGTCCTCCATGTGTAGGTTTGCCGAAAGAAAATAGTCGAAAGGGTTGCTCGTCGTAATTATATTAATGTCAGAGTATCTTTCCATCTCCTGGTATATTCCCGCCATTACTCCAAACCTCCATACCTCCCATCTCCACCTCCAACCCCGACTCCATTATTTCTCTCACAACTTTGGGTATCATCTCCTCCTTTCACCTCTTCGACCTTCTCCACCAACGACACCCCCAAAACTCAATGGATCTACAGTTCGGAATCCACTGTCTCGCTCCGCCCGCTCCGCCCGTTCCCCACGGTCCCTCCTCTCCCTCTTACTCTTCGACCTCCTCGGTGGATCGTGTTCTTCAATGACCACGACTTTATCACTACCCCCACCGCTTGAACTTGGACTTCTGTCCCTACTCCTTCTCACCTCTCTCCTCTCCTCAACAACCACTCTCTCAACAGGTGGTGGAGGCCTCCTCGTTTCTTGTCGCACTTCCTCCCGCACCACTCTAACCGGAGCCGGGCTTCGACTACGTTGACGCCTAATCTCCACTTTCTCTGTTGTGCTCACTCTTCGACTATGCGGTCTCGAACTCCTGTGCGAATTATGCGATCGCCGTCTAACATTCTCACGGAAACTTATATCTTCGGTAACTGTAGATTGCGCAGATTGACGACGTCCCAATGTGCAGCATGTATATAAGAGCCAAAGGAGCAGTAGAAAGCCTCCCACCGAACCCAAAACTATGCCAACAATTGTGCCAGGCGAAGGAGAATTGTTTTCTTGTCCGTACGTAGTAGGAATGATACTTGGGTTACTACTCGTAGTTTGTCGCGAGATTAGACGAGCCCAGATTTTCGTCAATTTTGAAGAAGATAACTGCACATTTCGTCGTTGGAAAATTGTAGAGATTGGCTGTAAAATTGTCGTCGTCCTCGAGGTTACCGAAGCTGCATGCGCAACATCTCTTGGGAATATTGAGATTCCCGAGAATCGAGAAATTGGAATAGGTGCCATATTTTGATGATGAACCTGCGAGCGATATGACGCTCGAGGCGTAGAGGAGGCTTCCTGAATTTAATCCAAACTATGCGCCGGAAGTGTGATGTGTTTTCATATGCTGCGTGTTGATATCCTGATTGATTGTTTACGACTGAGCTGTTTAAAGATGCTGGTCTAAGCTTGACGAGGTGATACGATACGATAAATACAATTCAAGTGGAGGGGTGATGCTTGAATTTGATAAGCTGATTCTTGAAGATGGAATTATGGGGTGGGTAAGTGAATACCAGAATAACGAATGGAGGAACGAGGACGGAGGACGGAGGAACGAATGATTGGAGATATCCAAATGGAAGATATATTATATGAAGGAGAGAAGGAGAGACAAAGGGAGAGAAGGCAGGTAGGTAGGGAGAAAGGAACGAATATAGAGAAAGTTGGAAAGGAGTTGGAAAGGGAAGTATGAGCCAAAAGCAGATTTATCCCATTCCGAGGATTCCTTCAAACTGTCCCATGCATACCATACCATACCATACATACCTAGGTACTGAGCATAATGGTACCTACCTATCAACGTACGCTCATACAACCGTTTTCTGTACCTACCTAGTAGTTCAAATCGCTTGCGCGTAGTTCTCTACTTTGGCTGACGCAATCTAGAACAACATGAACGAGAACTCTCTGGGGAACCAGGCCCTAGGCAGATATGGTACGCTTCATGATCTGTGAGTGGGTGAAAATAAAGATGGCTGGTAGTATACCGGTATTCATGATATCGTGCTTCATGAGGTAGGTATTTTTGGTGAGATGAAAATTTGATCCCGTTGACATGGTAGAAAGAAAGGGGCTGGCATGGGATTCTCTCACATCGAGGGGTCGAGGGACGAGGGACGAAGGCGCATGTGCTGGTGGTGCTGGTGCCGGTGCTGGTGCATGTGAAGATACTTCGTACACTCTCTGTACATCCGCAGTATCGGTACGTACCGGTACTCTGTGCACTGGAATTGATTCACCTTGCAGTTGCCCCTCCACTGTGGAGAGACAGTTTGAAAATCTTTCCTCTCTCTCTCTACCGCCGACGTATCACAATATGTATGGGCTCCACCAAACAATAAGTACCATGGCCACGGCTATGGCTACCTAGGTATGGCCATTGGCTATGGACGAATAGAATAAGACGTGATGAAATAAATGCTAACGATATCATAATCACATCACTTCTCTTGATATTTTTGCTTGAACTCCATCTCCCTATGTTCGAGATTTGCATTAGATTCTCCTCCTGCTGAACGATGAAGCGTGTGTGTCGTCTCTCATGCGATGTACTCAAATGGATTGCTGGTACGAGGATAGTTGATTGGTATTATGATCTTGTGCTAAGCCACTGTCAAAGGCCAAGTTTGCGACAGTAAATGTATTATCTTATCAAAATATGAAAAAGCCCAGAAACTCCGAATACCAAGCATTTCATTTCATTTCGTTTCTTTGTTTCTTTCTCATTTTCATCTTCATTCTAATACCCATATATCCAAGGTCATTTCGACATCTTCAATAGATTCGTTTTCATCTCCTTTTTCTTTCAATCGCTGTTCTTGACATCAAGTACCATTATATTCATCCCCCCCAATTGTTCGGGCGAACCATATCCATGTCCGTTGAATCCGAAGTCAAACAAACTTTGGATCGTAATTAATTGACTTAGCCATCTTGTATGACGTTGCTCCGGAACTATTAGATCGTACCAAGCGCCACCATCTACAGATCTGTCTTAATACAAAGACTTCGCATTCTACCTACCTACCTACCTACTTATTTACCTACCTACCCACCGACCTACCTACCTATCTACAAAAAGACTTCACATCACTACCCGACAACCTCCGAGAATTACCATACCTACGCCAACGTCGCATTCAACCTATAAAAACTCAATTAAAAATGTCGAAGAAATACGAAGAAGGTCCTCCACCTCCAGCATATGGCTCGGATGGTCCCAGTCAAAATTCTGCACCCAATCCCCCTCAAGCAGCATATATGCACCCTTCTCCCTCGCCTCAACCTCAATATCAACAGCAGCCATATCAACAACCATACCCGCAAGGTCAATACCCTCAACAAGGATACCCACCACAAGGGGGATACTATGCGCCAGGTCCGCAGATGGGATATCAGCAACAACCTCCATACGGATACCAACAACAACCTTATGGATATCAACAGGGATATGGTCAACAGCAGAGAAGTTCCTCCAGTGAAGGCTTCTTGGGAGCTTGCTTAGGAGCTATGGCTTGTTGTTGTTGTTTGGATTTATTGCTTTAGTGGAAGTTTGTGTGCAGAGAATGGGAAAGGGATCGAGTGGGATGGTTAAGCTGTTTGTATTCGAAAGTAGATGGATTGGGAAGGCAGGCATACTGCAGCACAGATTCGACAATGGAAATGAAGTGGGTATATACGATTGGGAGTATCTCGAGAACCAGGCAGGCATATTCAACACTCACTATTTGAAAATTGGATTGGGAGCTCTGTATAACTACATAATCGGCGTATCGGGCTGGCTGGACCTGTCTTGGCAGAATACTGTATGCAATGGGTTCAAGGGATTCAGGTGTATGGATAAAGCTATTTGTCAGATCCAAAGGAGTTATGGGTGGCTATAGTGTCTCTGGGTATTGTAGGACATAGGTTCTCAATTCTATATCTTTCTTAATCAAACACTTTACCAAATTCTTAGTAAAGGTATTATTCATCCCCAAATATTCTGCCTCCACGGCAGTGGCCCCCGGAGGGCTAGCGGAGCGTCATTTTCTTCATCAACATAGACATGAATGTAATTCCTTAATTATGGTTCAATGGGTGATTGTAATACTGTAATGGGGGCAAGCCCCCAAACCCCCATAGCTCGCTACGCTCGAATGTACCGTATATGACTTCAATTGTCTCAATTTGTCTGGAGTGTAACTTTTTACATACATATATACATACATAATTACCAATCTAGTAGGTAGATGTGACAATCTAGTCCGATGATTCTGTTACTAAATTCCATGAATTCGGACGCTATTGAAATTGGCAAAACCAGTTGAAGCATTCTAATAAAATACCTAGATAAGTATTTCCTTATATATCATCTAAAAGCAAGTAAGCAAACCTCAAAAATCTATAAATATAAATTATAATCCAATTCTCTGCGGAGATATGGAGAGATGGGACTTTTGAGAATTCCACTTCTGGTCCCTGCCAAGTCTACTTTATCTCGCTTTATCCAATTGGAAATTTCGTCGACCACTTTAATAAACAGCTCAGTTTGAAGATCTTCCGAGGTTCTATTATCACATACATAATAATTACTTAACTGTGCCGCACCACAGCCTTGTGCTGAGGTATTTCAATTCCATTCATTCTTTAACAACAGTTGTCAGGAATCCTTCGATAATATAATAAAATCCTGATTTCGAAAACTTCGTATTAATGTTCATGTCATAACACTTTCGTTTCTCCTCAAACTTTTAATATTCAATACCTAGGTATTCATCTCACTGTCGTTCTCGCGCTTCGAATTCGTTGTGACACTCAGCATACATCAAGTGAATCATTTAGACAGTTTACAGGCCCCATCTTCAACAAGTATTCCTTCTGTTTTCTTGGCTACTACATATAATCCGGCTTTTATCCAAGGTCTGAAAAGTTACTACAATCATATCGCACATCATGGCCGATGTTGAAGAGCCACAGTTTACCACCCTCGCCCAACGTATTGCTGCATTGAAGCAACAACAAGCGGGGGACTCTGCCCCTCCCAATAATACTTTGATAATAGCCAAACGACCACCACCACCTCCTATTCCAAGTTCCGATAGACCTCCTCTTCCTACAAGACCAAAGACTGCCAACAATCCTCCAATTGTCACGTATGGTTCTTCTGTTAACCAGAAACCATTCAATGAGCCACTTGGCACAAAAGCCAACTCGAATCCAGTCAATGGCAATGCCTCTTTTAAGAATTCCAAGAGTCCTGCTCTCCCAGCTCGAAATGCACCTCCTCCATTACCCACGAGAAAAGCCTCGACTCCAAATCTGCCACCGAGAAGAGCATCGTCTTCTACACAATTAGCAAGGAGAGACTCGGGGGATTCGACCATTTCACAGATGTCCACAGTCTCGGCCATGTCATTGAATAGCTATGGCAGATCTGCATCTTCAACAACATCTATAGGATCAAAAGATGGAAGAATGCTACCTCCTCCCTTGGATATGGCAAAACTTCCACCTTTACCACCTTCAAGAAGAGAATTGCAAGAGAAGGCAAGATTAGAGCAGAAGGCTAAATTCCCTCTCGTTTCTGTAAGTATTTCTAGTACTATTTCTAGTTTTGGTTGCGGGTGGACGATTTCATTATCAAAGTTTGTTCAATTTCAGGTTGGGTGTGGAATTCCAAGCATATTCATCCCAACTCTCCTCCTAGCTCTAAAGTACTTTATAATTACAAATTTAACACTTTTAAAAACAGACCAAATCAGCTCCAGTTATTCTCAAACAACCTCCAGTCGTTGAACGTGAATTGCCACCCAAAATGCCTTCAAGACCAAATGGTCCACCTAAAATGCCTCCTAGACCCATCGCAAATGTAGAGGACGAAAATTCAGTCTCTCTACCACAGCGAAGATTACCACCTCCATCCCAAGCTCGTTCTATTCTATCACTAGGATTTGGTAACAAATCTACCGAAACACCAAACCCTTCACCAAGACCAACACCTACTTACCATGGGTCCTCTGGTCCTGCTGTTCAAGAATTGAATGCCAATAATTTTGATCGTATTATTCTCTCGGGAAAATATGCTCTTGTGGACTTTTATGCTCCATATTGCAAGTATTGTGTTGAATTGGATCACCATTATAAACAGCTTGCCGAGGATTTTGCATTTGCTTCTGATAGAATTGTGATTGCAAAAGTTGATGTTGATGCACACAACTCATTCTTGGCAAGATATGGTATTGAAGGATATCCAACCATTATGTTCTTTGACGGAAATGGAGATAATCCGGAAAAGTATCAATATATGAGAGAAACGGATGCTATGTCAAAGTTTTTGGTTGAAAAGACTGGAATATCACCATCTGATGCACCAAAATCTGGGGGAGGAGTACCACCACCTATCAACCTTCGATCCAAGCCAAAACCGGCTCTAGTAAAAGATGTAAGTGTTGCTCCAACTACATTATCTTCTTCATCACAGGGTTGCCTTTTATGTCGAGACTTTTCTGGTCCGGATCAAATTGCATCAAAATATTCAAGGGAATTCCTTCCAAGATCCCCTGATAATACAGGATATCTTGCTGATGTTCTTTGTCGTTCTTTCAGCTCGCCTACTGATAAAGCTCGTGCGATCTTCGTTTGGCTTCATCATAACATCGCTTATGATACTGGAGCTTTCTTTGGAAACCGAGTCAAGAATGTTACACCTGCCGATACTATTAAAACTGGATTAGCTGTTTGTGGTGGATATGCTGGTCTTTTCACGGCTATTGCACTTAAAGCAGGACTCGAAGCTATCATGGTAACCGGTCACGGAAAAGGATTTGGATATACACCTCTTAAACCAGGAGAATCATGTCCACCACCTAATCCTGGTGGTCATGCCTGGAATGCAGTACGTATCGATGGAGGGGAATGGAAATTGATTGACCCTTGTTGGGGTTCTGGACAATTAGGAGAGAATCAAATGTACAACAAAAATTTGATCTCATCCTACTTTACCATGTCGAATGAAGAATTTGGTCTCAAGCATTTTCCAGCCAATAAGCCACATTTCTTCAGGAAAGATAGAAGGGTTTTAACGTGGGAAGAATACTTTATTGGAAATCTTGGTGGTGAACCATTACAAATTTTTGGTTCTGTGGAAGATCGTCATGGTATCTCACAAACTTCAATTACTCCACCTCAAAAATTCATACAAGCCTCATCCACGTCTAAGGAAATGATGCGATTTCAATTCTCAAAAGTCTGTGAACATTTCGACTTTGAACGAAATGGTCTTGGGAAACCTTATTGTCTGGTTCTCAGCATAAAAGGAGTGGATGGAAAAAAGGATGATATGATACCATTTGATTTTGATGGGTTTTGGTGGTGGATAGATGTGGGAGTGAAGGAATTGGGAGTGAGAGGTCAGACGATTAGTTTGTATGCGGTTTCGGTTGTTAATGGAGAGGATGCGAGGGGATTGACGAAGAGAGATTATGAGGGAATGAAGGGGAGGTGTGCGATGGAATTTGAAGGGGTTGCGGCGTGGGAGTTGGATTGAATTGATCTTGTTGATGATTAGGTGGTAATGGGTAGGGGATATGATGAGTTGGTGAGCGGGTGAACTTTGGATAAGTTTACTCATTAGCGGTTATTTTCTTTTGTCTTGTTTTGTTTGATGCGGCTCAGCTTGCCTTGGTTTGGCTTGACTGGGGTTATGGCGTTGTGGAATCGGGGATCGGATCTGGGATTAGGAAAGGTATGAATAAATTGAGTTATTCAATATTCAATGCAGACAGCGTAGCGTTAATATATATGGTTTTTTCAATCTTGATATTATCGGTATTTTGAAATTGATAAAATTTGATAACTGGTACATTTCTCACACCTTACACACTACTCATAAGTTTTAAAGTTGGAATAGAGATATATATAAAAGAAATAGGGAGAGGGAGGGGGGAGAGGCCTTGAGAGAGGAAGGAGATGATATTATAATAACTTTGAAAAGACAGATTATAACATAAGAATTTATCAAATTGATAAAACAGATTCTAGATTATTAGATTCTTAATAACTTTAATTAATTGAATCAATAGTTATTGAATGATATGAATTTGAATATATTAATTAGAATGAAAAAGTGATTTACTCGATGATATGATTTACTCGTATATGAATTACGTTATGTTATATCTTTAGAATTTTCAATAAATTATTCATTTCGGTAATGTTAGGTTTCAAGTTAGTATTAAATATAAAATTGTCTTTTAAATTAAGAGCTATATCTTCTTTTAATTCTTTATAGATATGAGAAAGATTATTGTATGAGTAGGTATATATAAATATAAATATATAAAAGATATAATAATAATAATAATACTACTATTATTGTAAAATATAAGAAAAGATTAGAATTAAAAATTGAGAGAAAATTTGAGTATACTAAAAATAAAAAATGATTAATTAAATCTATTCTTTTATTTTCTAGAATTTTTTTATTATTAAACTTTTTAATTATTTATTTAAAAAATAAATATAAATACTTTCATTTTTATTTATTCTATGGATTTAATTAGTTA